TTATTCTAGCTATTTAAAAAAAAAATAGATTATTCTAACTAATCTCCCTATATTTAAATTGGGTAGCAAATGGATTCATCGTAATTGCCATATTCTAATTAAGTGGAAACACTCTTTGGTGTCCACTTAAGAGTGGATGGAGAGTGACTCCAATCTATTATCAATAGTTCACTGGCTCCTTTATTTTTCCATTCATTTTGGGTCTTAATCAAAAGTTAGGTCAATTGATTCAATATTAGTTTTTTTTTATTACATCAAAATATGAATACTGAATTCCAATGACATATTTTCATACAAATAATTCAGCACTTCTCTAGAAAAAAATGATTAGTATACAAGACTATGTTATATTTAACATTTTCGATATTTGAAGCTCAAATCGAAAAATTAAAAACTTTTGTAGTAATGGTTTTAGTCATTTAGAAGACATGACAAAACGAATCACATTTTCAAACGTAATGTAGTACTTATATAATTAAGCAAAGATGAATGATGAATCGAATGCTTTTCTACTCTATACAGTTGAAGAAATCGCACTCGACTTTGCATCTCTAAAATTAGTGCTAATAATTAAATGCATGCACGAACCTTTACTATCACTATATCTATCAATATTAAAGTTTATTATCTTTTTGAAATTCAAAAGATTATAAGAAAATTAAAAGAAAGAGCCTTTAAAATGAATAAAACATAAAATGTGTGATGGCCTAGTGGTAATACATGATGGTTGATTTTTTTGTGCTCCGGTTCAAACATCATTTGGTACGGAGAGTTATTCTTTAAATAGGAATATCCAAAAACTGTCTCCGGATACCAAGGAGGTTATGAACCAAAAGTTTAGAACTCCCATCATTTATAAAAAAAATGAATAAAAATTACACTACGTACGTTGCTCTCTGGTTTTATAAATGCTTTGCTCTTTGCTTTCTTTACTCAAGTTCTTGATAACGAAGTTACTTTCTTTAGTTTCTTCACCACAATCTTAAAGTATTATGTATGGGTCATACTTTTCTTCTTTTTCCTTTTTTCAGCTTTTTTTTTTAGTGGTATTTCCGTCACGCAACCATATATTATTTCTCATCTCTATATATATAAACACTTAATCACAAAAACCTTATTCACCACCACAATTAACGGTTTTTTCTTGAAAACAATCGAAACTTAAAAAAACATAAAAATGGGAACGTTCTTGGGACACTTTGTACCTGGTCTTTCACTTGCACTTCTTGGTCTTTGGCATCTCTTTAACACCATAAGGTCTTATTGTCTTAAAGGCCCTGACACTTTCTCTTCAAAATTTTGGTATCCTTTCCCTAAACTCAAACATCTCGAACTAATCTCAATCCTATTCTTCTCCTTCCTCGCCATCGTCCTCCTAACCCTAGATTTCCCAAATTTCAAATTCTCTTCTTTCAAACCAGACAACCTGGAACATGCTTCCATGTTCCTCCACCTCATCATCTTCGCGTGTTTCACTCTCTTTTGCGAGCTAACCCTTTGCTCAGATCTCTTCTCCGGCTTAATCGGAATCCTCGCTGCTTCTGTCTTCGCACAAGAACTCTTCCTACTTCATTTTCACTCCAATGATCATTTAGGTCTTGAAGGTCACTACCATTTCCTTCTTCAACTCATCGCTTTCGTCTCCTTTTCTTCGGCTCTAGCTTCTGCTTCTTTCCCTAAATCTTTTTCCGCAGCTCTAGTCCTCTCGATTTCGGTTATGTTTCAAGGATGCTGGTTCTTGAACATGGGTTTCATGCTTTGGGTCCCAGGGTATGCTCCTAGAGGTTGCGTAAGCAACACGTCAACATCTGATAGTAGAAGAAGTATCGTTCATAGTAGTGCGGTGGCTTGTGAGTCTCCTGGTGCTGAGATTAGGGCTAAAGCTTTGGCGAATCTGCAGTTTAGTTGGATCTTGTCTGCTATATTGATCATTACATGTGCCTTGTGCTTCAAGTTTTCCGGCAAAACTGTGTTGCCTAAGAATAGGTCGTCGTCGGAGTACGAGCGACTTTGCCGGCAAGGAAGTGATCGTTCATCAGCAGTGACGGTAGAAGTACCGGCTAGTTCCGACCAATGATAGATTTTACTTTACTG